TTGCAGTGAGCCAAGATGGTGTCACTATACTCCAGCCTGGGTGACAGAGCAAGATTCTGTCTCAAAAACAAAACAAAACAAAACAAAACTACCTAAAACTAAAAAAAGAAAACTGATGGTATAAAATAAGGAACGTATCTAGAAACATGAAAATACATGAAAAAACATGAAAATACAGAATAAACAGCCAAAGTTATTAAAGCAGTTGCCTTGAGGATGGGAATCAGGAATAAGAATGGAGCAGGGAACTTGCTGTTTTCCAGTAAAAACTTTATAGTATCATTTGCCTTTTTAAAGAGGTGCATAAACTCCTATGATTAAAATAAAATTTAAAAGAAAGAAACCATCTATATAAAAGCAAAAAGAATGCCTATTCAGTGCAACCCAAATTCTTATTTCTGGTTTTATAATTGGTCTAAAGTGGTGAATTAATACCTTTATTTAATTGAAAAAAGAGGTGGGGGACTGCTCTACTGTGAGCCAGTTTCATTTTGTTCTTCATAGAATTTAAGGGATACTTCATCTTTCAGAACCTGTCTATAAGCCGAAGCACATTCCCACTGGGCTTTTCTTTACGCCTTTTGTGAAGACCAAATTATACCACAGATGAAACTCAGATCATTTCCCATGATTCTTTTCAAAGACTATATTAAGTAACATTAATTATATGTTTCATTTCAAACTAATTGTTTAAACCTACAGGTCATAATGCTGATTCCACTTTGGATCGAGTGTATTCTTCACAGTATCTGTAGAATGGCATTGCCCAGATCCATCAACCACCACCTTAGCAAATGGATCAGGAAGTCCTGTGAAAAAAATATTTTTTAAAATTAATAATTTGACATGTGAGATAGAAGATTAATTATATAAATGTTCCATTTGCTACAAAAGATTATTCCACTATTTTTAAAAAGTTTAATAGCTATAAAAGTTTAATAGCTATAAATGAATAGTCCATTTAGAAGACTAAAAGTTACTTCTAAATAAAATACCAAAACTACATTTTTGGCCGGGCGCGGTGGCTCAAGCCTGTAATCCCAGCACTTTGGGAGGCCGAGACGGGCGGATCACAAGGTCAGCAGATCGAGACCATCCTGGTTAACACGGTGAAACTCCGTCTCTACTAAAAAATACAAAAAACTAGCCGGGCGAGGTGGCAGGCGCCTGTAGTCCCAGCTACTCGGGAGGCTGAGCCAGGAGAATGGCGTAAACCCGGGAGGCGGAGCTTGCAGTGAGCTGAGATCCGGCCACTGCACTCCAGCCTGGGCGACAGAGCTAGACTCCGTCTCAAAAAAAAAAAAAAACTACATTTTTTCTTGTTTCTGTCTCAAAATATTCCCAGTTTAAACTACCAAAATCTAGAGATTACTTCATAATGTGGAAGTTTTTGTAGGTTGTTACCAGCCCTGTGACCCCAAGAAGGTGAATTCTTGGAACCATTCATGGCTTTTTCTTTCCAAATGTCTCCCTCAGTAGCTCATTTAAAGGAGAGATTATTAAAGGTTTTTATACAGGAACACAGGCTACAGAGAAATCAAATTAGCAAATGGGTTTTGCTTAATAACTACCAGGAAAAATGAGACCAAAACAAAAGATGTAACACTCTGCCTTGAAAGAGTTTACTATCTAAGTGGAAAGATAAAAAATACTATACATGGAAAAAAAAAAAAAAACCTAAGAATAAACAAGTGCTTAGTGATATTGATTATAATGCAAACACTTGTATCACTATGTTAGGCACTATTCTAAATACTTTACATTCATCCTTAATCCTTACAATAACCCTATGAGGTAGATACTATTATTTTCCCTATTTTGCTGACATGGAAACTAAGGCACAAGGGGGTCAACTAAGTAGCCCAAGGTCACACAGTAGTAAGTGGCAGAGCCAGGGTCTAAAGTATAGATGCTAAACCCGTCTGGCTCTCGACTTCATGCCCTTAACCACTATGCTGTACTTCACCTCTCATTTACTATGTGATTCAACAGTGAGTACGAGAGCTCAGATAAACAGGAGAACAGTGTGAATCTGAACAGTATAGAAAGGGCTTTGGGGGAGAGGGGAACTCATCTGGGCTTTAAAGCAGGGGTCTTCAACCCCTAGACCATGGGCCGGTACAGGTTTGTGGCCTGTTACAACCAGGCCACACAGCAGGAGGTGAGCAGCAGAAGAGCAAGCATTACGGCCTGAGCTCCTCCTTCTGCCAGATCAGCGGCAGCATTAGAGGCTCATAAGAGCTGGAACCCTATTGTGAACTGCACATGCAAGGGATCTAGGTTGTGCGTTCCTTACGAGAATCTAATGCCTGATGATCTGAGCTGGAACAGCTTCATCCCAACACATCCCCTGCTCCCCATGTCCTTGGAAAAACTGTCTTGCACAAAACCGGTCCCTGTGCCAAAAAGGTTGGGGGCTGCTGCTTTAAAGGACATACAGGAGAAGGAGGACTTTCTAGCAACAGGAAGAGTGCCAAGGAGGGTATGACAATACAGTATTTAAAAGACTTTGAAGAGTCTAACCAAAGAGTTTGTGCTAAGCTGTAAAAGTAAATAGTGTTGGAAATATGAATGATCCTGTAAGAGAAGCTTAAAAGTCAGACAATAGGGCTTGGACTGATTGAGGTAGATTAACAGGGAGCCATTTCAGGTTCTTGAGCATGGCTGGAACTACAGTCATTTTTTCTATCAGTGGTATTCAGGGTCCACTAGGAGAAGGAAAGATTAGAGGCAGACCATATATGAAGCTGTTGTAATCATCCAACAGTAGGATGAAAAGACCCTGAACGAGGGAAGTCATATGGAAAGGGAAAGGAAATGACAATTAAGAGAGCTATTCTGAAAGATCTAATACAAATCAGTAAGACACTTGTGTCAAAGATGACAATACAGTTTTCGGCCCAAAGCAATAATGAAAATGATTGTTTTGACAAAAATGTAAAAGGTGGAACTAAAAATGTTAGACGAAAATGACACTTCACATGTAAGACATATTGGGATAGAGTAGATTTCCTGTGGACAGCTAAAAATACTAGAACAAAACAGCATTAAATGTTTGTGACTGGAGAAATTTTGCATGTTGGTATCAGTGTTAGTTTTTTTAAGATACTAATTTGCCAAGTTTCGAGGACAGACAACTCACCTATCAGTTCCCCAATTCTATGATTCTGTGATCTATCACCTTCAAATAATAAAGGAAGACCAAAACTTAAGGGTTATGTTTCAAAGAAACTTGGTAGGTTAGGGTATTAAATCTATTTGACTATATTTTTCTTGAAGCCGAGTGCTATGCATAGTATTTCAATAACACCTAACCATTTATAAATGTGTTCAATAGAAGAATGTTTTTACCTCCACCCTCAATTCATGAAGTATTTCCTCCTGGGAAGAATTCACTCTATCTTGTTATTTTCACTCTACTATTTAAACATATAAATTCATGTTTATAAGGAAAAACAAAAAACCACATTTCTACGCTTTCTCTTTGGGTGTTATTAAACTAGTTGAAGAATTAAGTCTCTCTGCTGGTTTCTTGCTTTTTTAAAAAAATAAAATTAAAAAGAATTAAGGATTGGCCAGGCACAGTGGCTCACACTTGTAATCCCAGCACTTTGGGAGGCTGAGGCAAAAGGATCACTTGAGCCCAGGAGTTTGAGACCAGCCTGGGCAACATAGTAACCACCTCTACAAGAAAATTTAAAAGTTAGCCAAGGGTGGTGGCATACGTCTGTAGTCTCAGCTACTCAGGAGGCTGAGGTGGGAGGATCACTTGAGCCTGGGAGGCTGAGGCTGCAGTGAGCCATGATCATGCCACTGCACTCCACCCTGGTTGACAAAGCAAGACCCTATCTCAGGGGGAAAAAAAATTACGGATTAAGAAAAACATCTGACAAAGGACTAATATCCAGAATCTACAAAGTATGCAAACAAATCAGCAAGAAAAAAAAAAAATTCCATCAAAAAGTGGGTTAAGGACATGAATAGACAATTCTCAGAAGAAGATGTACCAACCAAGATAGGCCAACAAGCGTATGGAAAAATGCTCAACATCACCAAGTATCAGGGAAATGCAAATCAGAACTACAATGCGATGCCACCTCACTCCTGCAAGAATGACCATAATCAAAAAATTTAAAAAAAACAGGTGTTGGCATGGATGCAGTGAAAAGGGAACACTTTCACACTGCTGGTGGTAATGTAAACTAGTACAACCACTACGGAAAACAGAGTGGAGATTCCTTAAAGAACTAAAAGTAGCACTTTGGGAGGCCAAGGCGGGCAGATCACGAGGTCAGGAGATCGAGATCATCCTGGCTAACACGGTGAAACCCCGTCTCTACTAAAAATACAAAAAAATTAGCTGGGCATGATGGTGGGCGCCTGTAGTCCAAGCTAGCCAGGAGGCTGAGGCAGGAGAATGGCGCGAACCCGGGAGGCGGAGCTTGCAGTGAGCCGAGATCGCGTCACTGCACTCCAGCCTGGGGCCTGGGTGACAGAGCGAGACTCCGTCTCAAAAAAAAAAAAAAAAAAGAACTAAAAGTAGATCTACCATTTTATCCAGCAGTCCCACTACTGGATATCTACCCAGAGGAAAAGAAGTCATTATACAAAAAAGATACTTGCACATGCATGTTTATAGCAGCACAATTTGCAATTGCAAAAATATAGAACCAGTCCAAATACCTATCAGTCAATGAGTGGATAAAGAAAATGTGGTATGTGTATACAGACACACACACACACACACATATATACATATATATACGCCATGGAATACTACTCAGCCATAAAAAGAAATAATGGCATTCACAGCAACCTGGATAAAATCGGAGACTATTATTCTAAGTGAAGTAACTCAAGAATGAAAAACCTCACATGTCTGTTCTCAGTCACATGTGGGAGCTAAGCTATGAGGATGCAAAGGCATAAGAATGATACACTGGACTATAGGGACTGGGGGAAAGGGTGAGAGGGTAATGAGGGATGAAAGAATACACACTGGGTACAGTGGACGCTGCTTGGGTGATGGGTCCACCAAAATCTCAGAAATCACCACTAAAGTACTTATTCATGTAATCAAATGCCATGTGTTCCCTCAAAACCTACTGAAATCAAAAATTAAAAGAAAAGAAAAATAACTTTTTCCGTACAAAATGTGGCTTCCAGATCCTTAATTAAGTAGGAAAGTCGCAGCCTTTTATGTTTCCTTTCTGTTAAATAACACAATAAAGAAAAATACAAGTTCAATATCTTAATTTAAAAAATAGGTTTCAACTTAACCTGATTATATTATTCTACAAAAATTTAACTTGAGAGCCAAGTTACTCTAATATGGTCAAAAGCTATCAGGTTTTCTGAAGTTAGTGAGACATCTAGTGGTAAATACAAAGTGGCTAGATAACTTTCTGCATTTAAAAAAATTTCTCGGCTGGGCATGGTGGCTCACGCCTGTAATCCCAGCATTTTGGGAGGCAGAGGCGGGCGAATCACGAGGTCAGGAGATAGAGACCATGCTGGCTAACATGGTGAAACCCCATCTCTACCAAAAATACAAAAAATTAGCCGGGCGTGCCGCCATGCGCCGGTAGTCCCAGCGACTCGGGAGGCTGAGGCAGGAGAATCGCTTGAACCCGAGAGGCACAGGTTGCAGTGAGCTGAGATCATGCCATTGCACTTTAGCCAAGAGCGAAACTCCATCTCAAATAAATAAATAAATAAATAAATAAATAAATAAATAACGTCATTATGGTGTACAGGCATACTTAAAAACCTGTGTAACAGAATAAAGCTGTAATTTTTAAGGCCTTGA